TGTTTTTTCATTTTCTTGCTCTTTCTGGGAGCTCTTTTCTACCTTGTTCTGCAGCTCACTGACTCGGTCCTCTGCACTCAGCAGGCCTCCTTAGAGAACTCAGGGCAGGGCAGAATCCCTCCTGGGGGCGGGCTTATGGGGTCCTCTCATGCTGCTGCCATATGGGGGAGGAGTCTGCACTGGGATCCCACCCGCTACTCTCTCAGTTCTTTCTCCAAACCTCCTTCCCCAGTCTCTCCTCAGGCGTCTCTAGCCCACTCTGCTCCCGCCTTTGCTGGATACCAGGGCAAGTGGCTGCACATAAACATTTTTGCGTTGGCCCCTTAAAAACAGTTCTTTGCGTCTCTAGCCGCCTGTCTCTGGCAGAGAGCAACCCTGCCGCTTTTCACAGCTGGCTGTTTTTTGTGTACTTTTTGGGCTCTGGTGCTGTGGGCTAGAGATCCCCACTTTTGGTTTAGACCCTGCTCTTCTCAGGGGGATCCAACTGGCCGTTTCAATATCCTTCTGGTGCTGCCGCCTGTGGGCACCTAGCCTGCCTTCTCAGGTCTGTACTGCACTCCTTACCAGTTAGGTTGCACTAAAGCTGATTCTTCTGTCTCTGAGGTTACAAGGCTCCTCTCTCACTATTGTTCAGTTGTTTGTTCCAGGTGATTTCTCCACAATTTAGTCGTTATTCCAGATAGGTCCTGGGAGGAGGTCAGTGTGACTTCCACTCACTCCTCCACCATCTTGTTTCCCCCCTTATTTTTTCTTTTTTTAAATTTTCTGATTTTTTTCTTGTGTTACTTCTTTAATTACAATTTTAAAATTTCATCTTTTCTGTGTTATCTGTTTTGTTTTTTGTTATTATTTTTAGTTATTTCCTTATTTGTTTTCCTTTCTGCTTTTCTTATTTTTGCCTTTTAAATTCTATATATGTATATTTTAATATATAGGTGTTTGATATAGACTATTAATTGTACCATATATATATTTTCCTTTTTTTAACTTATTGTTTACACTTTGATCAGCACCCGTACTGCAGCCAGCATGTAGTAATCTCACTGCCAGCCAGAGGGCTCACAAAACCTGAAGAAGAAATGTTCCTAGAGCACCCAGCTAAGGGGATCAGGGAGACTGAAATACTGAGTCCCACAGGACACCTCTGACCTATATAAAGCCACCACACAAAGACTGGGACTCATAGCAGATTTATGTAATACAAAAAAAATACCCCAAAACACAATGAGACAGCTAAAATGGGGAGACAAAGAAATGGGCCCTAGATTAAAACAAACAAAAACAAACAAACAAACAAACAAACAGGAGGAATATCCAGAAAAAGACCTCAATGAAATGGAGGCAAGCAATTAACCAGATATAGAGTTCAAAGTAATGGTTATAAAGATGCTCAAGGAACTTAGGGAGAACTACAAGAGCATGAAAAGAACATAGAAACCATAAAAGAAGACCAGTTAGAAGTAAAGAAAAGTGTATCAGACATGAAGAATACACTGGAAGGAAGGAAAAGTAGGTTAGGGGAAGCAGAGGATTGTGTCAGTGATTTAAAAGACAAGGTAGAACAAAATACCCAATCTTGGCAACAAAAAGAAAAAAGAAAGACTAACAAAAAAAGAAAGAGGATAGTTTAAAGGAACTTTGGAACGTGAAATGTAACAACATTGGCATCATCAGGCTACCAGAAGGAGAAGAGAGTGAGCAAGGGATACAGAAAGTGCTTGATGAAATAATTGCAGAAAACTTTCCTAAGCTGGTGAAGGAAAAAGCCTCAAATGTTCAGGAAGCACAGAGAGTCCCAGTACAGATGAACCCCAATAGACACACAGAAAGCCACATTATAATTAAAATGTCAAAGTTTACAGGCAAAGAGAGAACCTAAAAGACAGCCAGAGAGAGAGAGACTGTCAATTATCTACAAGGAACTTCCTGTATGGCTGTCAGCTGATTTCTCAACAGAAACATTTCAGGCCAGAACGGATTGGCATGAAATATTCAAAATAATGAAAGCAAGGACCTGAAACCAAGAATACTCTATCTAGCAAGATTATAATTTAAAATAGAAGACTATGCCCTGGCTGGTGTGACTCAGTGGATTGAGCTCTGGCCTGTGAACCATGGTGTCATTGGTTTGATTCCCAGTCAGGGCACATGCCTGGGTGGAGGGTCGGGTCTCCGGTGGGGTACATGTGAGAGGCAACCACACATTGATGTTTCTCTCCCTCTCTTTCTCCCTCCCTTCCCCTCTGTCTAAAATAAATAAATAAAATCTTTAAAATGGAAGGCTAAGTAGAGTGCTTCCAAGGCAGAAACAAATTAAACAAAACAAAAACTAAAGGAGTTCATGACCACCAAACCAGCATTGCAAGAAATATTAAGGGGAATGTTTGAAGAAGAAGAAATGGAGAGAGGAACATAGCACAATAATGAGTAAATAAGTACCTATCGATAATATCCTAAAATGTGAGTGGATTAAATGCCCCAATCAAAAAAAAGTGAGGTAGCTCAACGGATAAGAAAACATGACCCCTATAGATGCTGTCTACCAGAGACCCACCTCAGAACAAAGGATTCACATAGGCTGAAAACAAAGAGATGGAAAAAATATTCCAGGCAAAAGGGAGCAAAAAGAAAGCCGGGGTAACCACAATTCTGACAAAAGAGGCTTCCAAATGATGAGCCCTTAGGCTGTTTTCAACCTTAGATGCTGCAAACCGCACTATGAACATTGGGCTGCCTCTATTCTTTCAAACCGGTGGTGTGGCACTCTGGGGATTTTTTCCGGAACGTGGAATTACTGGGTCAAAAGGCAGTTCCATTTTTGCTGTTTTTGAGGACACCCCATGCTGTCTTCCCCAGGGGTGCACCCGTCTGCTTTCCCTCCAGCAGGGCACCAGGGTTCTCTTTTCTTCACATCCTCGTCACCCCGTGCTGTTTGTTGGTTTATTGATGGTGGCCACTCCGGCAAGGGTGAGGAGATATCTCATTGTGGCTTTAATTTGCATCTCTCTGATTCTACTATATTGGCATCAAGTTGTTCTTAGTGTTCTGCTCTGATCTCTTTAAAGCCTATACAAGGTGTTTGCTGCCTCCTGTTTCACCTTTAATATTAGAAATATGTGGGTTTTTCCATATTTCTTGGTCATTCATGCTAAGAATTTTTTTGTTATTCTATTGCAGATGTCTCCATTTCTCCCCCTTTGCCCTCCTTCACCCACCCCACCCCCACTCCCACAGTGTGATTAATGTTTTCAAAATTGAAATTTTTGACTCTGTTTATTCCTCTCTGGTTTTGTTTGTCCTCAGTAGTAGCTTCTCCTGTTCCTATCATTTCCCTCCTCACCTGTCATGTAGAAAAACTTGCTGTTCTTTTACAATGATTTTGAGGAATTAAAGCTATCATTTTTTAAAAGATTTAAAAATTATTTTATTACAAAGAAACTACATTTTAATGTAGTACTTTTTTTTTTTTGCTCCAGGGTTTCTTTCTTTTTAAATTGACTTTATAGTAGTGACATTGGTTAATAAAGATATATAGGTTTCAGGGGGTATTATTCTTTTTAAAAAGATTTTATTTTTTAGAGAGAGGGGAAGCAGGGGAGAAAGAGATGGAGAGAAGCATCCATGTGTGGTTGCCTCTCATGCATCCCCTACGGGGACCTGGCCTGCAGCCCAGGCATGTGCCCTGACTGGGAATTGAACTGGCCACCCTTTGGTTCACAGGCCTGTATTAAATTCACTGAGCCACACAGCCAGAGCCAGGGGTTATAATTCTACAGTACATCGCCTGTACACTGTATGTGTGTTCACCACCCCAAGCCAAGTCTCCTTCCATCATCATTTATCCCCCCTTTACTCTCCTCTGCAGACCCTCAACCCTTTTTCCCCGGTAAACACTATACTGTTTTCTGTATCTATGAGTTGTTTTTCCTTTGTTTAATCCCTTTACCTTTTTCACCCAGCCCCGAATTCCCTCCTCTCTGACAGCTGTCTGTCTGTTTTCTGTATCCCTGAGTCTGTTTCTATTTTGTGTGTTAGTTTACTATGTTCACTAGATTCCACATATAAGCAAAATCATATGGTATTTGTACTCAGCCATGAAAAAGAAAAGTATTTCCTTTTGTTACAGCATGGATGGACCTGGAGAATACGAGTTATTTTTAACTGGATACTGTTATTAAAATCTAATGGGCGGGCCATATTGTATCAGCTGCAGGCGTGCAGCACTGACTTTCTCTTTGTGAATCTCAGGATGTGCGCCCCACGTTGACTCCAGGAACCGAGTGTCTCGTGCAAAGTTGTCACTCATGGTGGACTATCTCCCCCTTTCCACCCACCCCTCCACCACCTCCCCTTGGGCAACCATCGTCTCTTCTTCGTGTCTCTAGGTCTGTCTTTGTTTTGTTTGTTCTGATGGTGTTAAAAGTCCACACCAACCTGAAATCTTTCTCTGTGTGAACGGTGTCTCTCAGCATAATAAGCTCTAGGTCCACCCAGGTGGTCACACATGGAGGGACTGCCATAAAACCTTTTTTTATGGTAGATTTTCATTCCATTGAGCATACGTGCAACATCTTTCTATCCAGTTGTCTGTGGTTCTAACGATTCAATGCAATCTTTTTCTGAATTCTCGATATAATACTTCAGGCCAGTGATTGTTTAAAGTCCTTTTATTTTCTCATATATTCATTCATGAATATTACTTTTCCCATTTCATGGGTTTGATGTGTAATATTTATACGATCATTTAATCCAAAGCATTCACTTCTCTTTTGGTTCACACATTGCTTATGGAGAAGTCCATTTGCTTTCTTTCCAAAATGTGGGGGTACTGGTTATCATTGACTGAAAAATCCCAGAGGGTCCCAGGAGCCTCAGGGAATTCAGTCAGGTCTCCAGACTGCCCAGGGTCATGGCTGATTTTTCCTTGGGGGCAGCTCCTGTGCCTTCCGGGGCCCCTGCAGGCCCCTGCCCTGGAGTGTGGGGTCTGGGCCCTTCCTGGGCTAGTGGACGGCCAGAGCAGCGTACACGCTGGGCTCAGCCGGGGGCTCCTCTGACGGGGGTGCACCTGTCTCCCGTCTGAGGGTCAGGTGGGTCAGCTGGGCGTAGGTCACGTCCTGGGCCTGGAGCAGGGGACAGTGAGAGGGTGAGACGTGGCCGGGGCGGGGGAAGCCTGGGGGCTGGAGAGGGTGGGACCCACCTGACTATCCATCTGTCTGTCCCCTTCTGCTTGTCTGCACTTCTTGTCCCACAATCTCCACGACGAAGAAGGAGAGGAGGCCATTCCCTGCCTGAGCCTTGATCTTGAGCGGTTCACCTGGGCATATGTCACTCCCTGGGGGTCGTCACGGGGCCTGTTCTGCTGCAGAGAGACAGTGAGACAGAGACGGCATGTCCTCGATCCCACTGTTGAGTCCTCCCGTCAAGCATCCACATGGGGTCAGAGTGAGGGTTGAAACTTCAGGTCAGATGAGGTCACTGTCCTGACGGAATTGCAGGGGCTTCCTGAGCCTTGGGGCATCTGGAAGCTTCTAAGGTCCTGACCGTTAACCTAATGCTCTGTGTCTCTACTCATTTGGCTCCACCCACTCGGCCCCTCTGGCTGAAGCGCATGTCCTGCCTCAGGACCTTTGCACCTGCTGTGTCCTCTGCTCTCCCCCCTCACCACGCACTCCACCCCCTGCTCTTGCTTTATTCTCCTTCACAGCAGCTGGCCCTCCTGACGCCATCACCTGTGTGCAGGTGTCTCCCTCGCCCACAGGTGGGCTGGACGAGTGTGGGGACAGGCTGCTCGGGGCGGCACCGCGGCCCCTACATGGAGCCGGTGCCCAGGGAGCTCCCGTCACGGCGGCTGCGTGACTGAGTGAAGGGGCCCTGGGGCCTGGGGTGAGTCACTCATTCACGCCTCCTCCTGAGACCTGGGGCTGCCCAAGGTCAGACAGGGGACGAGGGGCCAGCCCAGGGGACCCCCCAGGAGGGGCCATGAGGTCCCAGGAAAGGGAGGAGTGAGTCACAGCAGGACGGCCTGGTGCCCAGAAGGAGAGGTCAGTGTGGACGCTGCTGAGAACCAGGGGAGGGGAGGACAGGGGAGGGACCATTGGAGTGAACTGGGCAACAGGAAGGTCCTTGGAGGCCTGGACAGGGGCAGGGGTCTCACCCGAGGGTCCAGCTCCACGCCCTCCCCAGCCTGTGGGACCTTCATGGCAGCATCTGCGGAGGCAGAACAGGGTGTGATCCCTGGCAGGGTCCCCGGGATCCCAGGGCTGCAGACCCGCTGCCCCCAGATGGGCCACTCACCCAGGGTGAGGCGAGGGGCCAGGTCAGGCTGTGGGGATTTCCGTCCCCCTCACCCCTGACCCCACACCCTCCCAGGCTGTCCCCTCCCTGTGGCCTCCTGGAACCCCTGTGCCCCCTGCCCCAGGGCAGCGGTCCCTTCCTCTCACAGAGGGGCTCTTCCTGGGCGTCAGCCACTGAGCTGGAGGATGGACGTCAGCCTCTCCCTGGGCTTGTCCAGAGGAACAGTCTCCGCCCCGGGAGGGTAGGGTCCCCTCCCTGTGTGAATCCAGGGGAAAGAAGGAAACTTGAATATATTCTTGCACATATGCTTCATATTTCTGAGGTTGAAAACGATGAAATTTACTCGACATTTATTCGTGCCTCTGTGCTGACATTGAGTGATTTCTTTCCAGAATTCCTCATTTGAGATTTGGGAGAAATCTGTTGCTTAACTGACCTTCTTCATCGATTTGATTTCCCTCCAGCAGGTGCTCTGAGCCCCTCTCTCCTGTGGCCCAGGTCACCCCGTCCCCTACTCACCCGACGTCCTGCCTTTGCTCTGAGTCTGGTGTTGGAAGAAGAGGAAGAGGAGGAGGGCGAGTAGCAGGATGAGGGTCACCAAGACCCCGATCAGCACCTTCCAGTACCATTTGTGACCTTGATCTGCATTGATGTCAAGAATGAGCCAAAGATGCCCTTTCATGAGCCCCTACTGTGTGCGAGGCACATGCTGGGGCCTGTGGTTCGTCTCCTCTAACCTCACAGCCCCCCTGCACCAGGGATCGCTGACCCACCGCCCAGTCCCCGGGGGCTCAGAGAGGTGAGCCGCGTGCCCCAGGGCCCCCAGCCTGGCCGGGGCAGGGCAGGGACCGGACCCCGGACGTGGGTTCCCTGTGCTGTCCCCATGCTGCCCCCTGGGGACACCAGCTCCGAGCTCTGGGCTCCTCTGCAGGGGCCTGTTCTGTCTCAGCTGGAGCTGAGGGTCCTCTTTATGAGGTGCCCCCCAGTCCAGCCGGGACACGGGAGGGGCAAGGCTGTGGGGTGAACCCTGAAAATGCCTTGGTAAGGTCGGGTTGGACTGAGGCTCTGCCTTCCTGAGCTCTGTGAGGCCCCTTATGTCACCTACTGTCACCGCAGGCCTGTGAGCAGGAGGCGACCAGGGATGAACAGACATGAACCCGACACTCAGAGAAGAGAAGGGACCGTGGGCCCCACAGCGGGAGCCACAGAGCCGGGACCTGAGCCAGGACTGACTCCAGCCCTGGCTCCCTCCTCTGAGCTGAGCACCTGAGCTGAGGAATAGACCTGGAGGCCCCAAACCCATGTCTTCCCTCTCCCTCCCTGTACAGTGTCACTGTCACTGCTACAGAGGGGACAGATCCCATAACATCACTTCTGGGGTGGCTTTACTATGAAGCCCCTTCTCCCAGGAGGTCACAGCCAGAGTGAAAGGAAACCTAAGCTCTGGGCCACGAGTCTCTCCGTTAAACTTGGAGACACTGAGGCACAGGGAGGGGAGGGCGTGTCCAAGTCAGAGCCTCCAGAGGAGCCTCAACTTCCAGGGACCCAGCCCCTGTCCCCTGTGGACACACCCACCATTTTTCCCCAGAGACCCTCACTCACCGCTCTGCTGGCCTGATGCTGTGGTGTTTTCTCGAATATCAGAACCTCCTGGAATTCAGGACTGGAGTGAGCGGCGGAGGTTGCCTTCTCCCAACACCAACCGGTTGTGCCTCCCCCAGCCGGGGTCCCTACATGTGTCCCTCTGCCATGACCACCCCCCGTCACCTGCCAGCCGGAGAGCCCTGGGGGCCCTGGGGTTCCAGCATCTCTGCCTGACTCCCAGTCCCCAGGACACATGCCCAACCTGAGTGTCTGGGGGACATGAGACCCCCAGATGGACCCCCAGAACTTCCCTGGGCGGCTCTGTGCTCCCTCTGAGCAGGGTTCTCAGACTCACCGGCTGTGGGTGGGGGACGGAGGCCCCCCAGAGGGCCCTGCAATTTAGGACAGAAGTGGGTGAGGGTCTGGGACTAACCCTGGGGTCAGCAGGTCACTCAGACTCTTCCGCTACATCTGCACTGGGGTCCCCACGACACTCCCCCCTGCCCACCTGCCCCCTTCCTAAGACAGGTGAGGGGGAGGGGTGGGCAGGGGTAGCAGGGTCTCCGAGGGGCAGACGCCCTCTGGGTGACCATCCCTACAGCCCCTCCCTCCTGTTTCAGCCCATAATTCTTCTGGAGAGGGGACCCTGAGCTAACAGCCCAGAATGACAGGGTCAGGGGCCTCACCTGAGACCACGAGCTCCAGGGCGTCACTGGGCTGCGACAGCAGGTAGGGGCTGCTTAGGCTAACGCTGTAGCACCTGTAGGTGCCCCCATGGACGGAGGTCACGGGCCCCATGGAGAACTCTGCCTGGTGCTGCTGAGCTCGGGGCTGTGATCTGAGCCGCAGGGGGGGATCGGCCACCCCCTCCTTGGTCAGAAGGAAGCTGTCCCTCGGGCTCCGTGACTGACACAGCAGGGTCACCTTCTCTCCTGAGGTCACCCTGGGGCCCGGCTGCACCGAGAGGGTGGGTCTGTCAGGGAGCCATCCTAGAGAGAGGGGGGCGGGTGAGGGGCTGCCGCCCACCCTGTTCTGACCTGAGAGTCACCAGGCCCCTTTCTGAGGACCCTCCCTTCTGTCTGTCTCTGTTTTCTCTGCGTCTCCCCCTCCCCCTCACCTCCTCTGTCTCTTTGTCTCCTCCCCTCCCTGGGGACCCCACAGCCCTTGTCCTGGCCATCACCACCTGAGACCCCCAGCAGGGCCTGACCAGACTCTGGGCCCTTGACTGAACTCGCTGACTCCTCACCTGCCACCAGGACGTCCAGGGGGTCACTGGGGGCCGACCACTCGGAGGAGACGCTGTGTCCCCCGTAGCACCTGTACCGGCCCCCGTGGGAGCCGCGCACCGTGTCCAGGGGGAAGTCGGCCTGAGAGAGCCCCGCCCGGGGCTGCAGGGCAGTGCTCTGGGGGGGGTCCTGTGCCCCCTCCTTGGAGAGAGCGAACCTGTCATAGCCGAGGTCCGAGCGGCACTGGAGGGTCAGGTTCTGTCCAGCGGCCACGATGGGGCCCTGCTGGGTCAGGAGGGAGGGCTTCCCTGAGCCTCCTGCAGGGACCAGAGGTGAGTGACAGGGGCTGCCCGTCCCATGGACCCTCCCCCTGGTCTGTCCCCAGGTCCCACTGTCTCTCTCTGTGTCTCTGGCCCAGGAACCCCTGCTCTCCCCTCTCCCCGACCTCTCACGTAGGCTCCACTCCCAGCAAGGCCCCTGGTAACCTGGCTGGTGCTTCAATCCATGGATGGGATAATATGGGATGTACCTGAGACCACAAGCTCCAGGGTGTCACTGGGGTGAGACCGCTCCAGAGGGTGCCTCCTAAAATAGCCATAGCACCTGAGCCTCCACCTGTCACTGGGGGTCACGGGGCCCACAGGGAACAGGGCCTGGGAATGCCCACTGGGGTGTCGCTGTGAGTCCAGGGTCCAGGGGGATCTGCGTTCTCCTTCCTTCGTCAGAATGAACCTGTCAAATTCCTTCCATGAGCCACACTGGAGGGTCACGTTCCCTCCTGAGGTCACGACAGGGCTGGGCAGGGCCGAGAGGCTGGGTTTGCTGTAGACCCCTAGGAGAGAAGGAGGCAGCGTGGTAAATGGGGCTCACACCTCCCTCCTGTCCCCCAGGGCTGGGCTGTGAGGGATGGACTCCCTGAGAGCATCCCCCTCCCTGACGGCAGAGCCTTGGGCAGGGACCCCTGAGTGTCCTCTCACCTGTCACCACCAGCTCCAGGGGGTCACTGTGCTGTGACCAGCCAGTGGGGCTGCGGTATTTACATAAAAATCTCCCTGCCCTGGGGACCTCCCTGAAGAACCTGGCCCTGTCCTTGGGCTCCAGCGGTTTCTGTCTGTCCAAGGGCGTATCCATGTCTTCTGTATACAGACAGTACTCCTGAGCCCTCAGGGTCCCCCGACACCAGATGGTCACAGAGCTTCTCACAGATATCACAGGACCCGGGTCAGCCCAGATGGTGGGTTTGGGGAGGTTCCCTGGAGGAATCAGAGACTGTGTTAGAAAGACCTACCCCACCCTCATTCCCCAGCTCAGCCGACATCCCTCCTCTTTTATCCCCTCATCCCAGGACATCTTGCTCCCTTCTGAGCCCTGGAGATGAAAGAGGAGGTAGACAGGGACCCTGGGGAGGACTCACCATCCTTTACGCGGGTTTTCTGACACAGACTCAGCCCTGGAAGAGAGTCCCTGTCAGGTTTGCACCCGGAAGTCTGAGCTGAATCTCTTACCTCAGGGAATCATCCGCTCTAGTTGCCTGAGCCCTGAGGTTCCCCATGAACAAAGGGACATTGCTGCCCTGTCTCCTACTGTTGCTCTGTCCCCATGGCCACAACTGACCGAGGCAGAGAAGAGCAGGGAGGATGGACATCGTGCCGTCTGCTCTGAGTGCTCCTGCTCTGCAGGTGGACGAGACCCTGGGCCTGAAGGACAGAGACACACAGGATGTGGTGAGTCAGGGGCTGCTGCTGCCCTTCCGGGTTCCCATCTCTGTGGACCCACAGCAAGGGGACGGCCCCGCCCCGGGCTCTGGGTTTTTCCATGACGAGGGCTCAAGAAGACACCTCACCCCTTGGAGATGCTCAGCTCAGGTATGGGGTCTCTTCTCCCTCCCTGGTCTCTCTGCCTGGTCTGTGCTCCTGTTTAGAGAGGGCGGGAACAGGGCTCTGGTCCTCAGTCCACCCTCAACAGGCTGACTCTAAGTAGAACTCACTACTCATTTTCTCAGCTTCCCACAATCAGCATTTACCTTTAATTTCTGACTTGTCCATAAGCCTCCCATTACTGATCATCTCGTATATCTGAGTATTTGTGTCAGAACTGGCAATGCATCCGTGACCGAGGAGACTATTTTCTGTATGTTGAGAACTCTTCTCAGTGCACAATGAGAATTCTAAGTCAAAAGTGGAAATTACTTTACTTACTAATGAGAACTGAGAAACAATATGAGAACACCTGGCACCATGACTAGGCTGTGGTTGAAGGAACAGCTGATCTTGATCCTCATTGAAGGATATGTTTATTGATGTTACAGAAAGACGAAGGGGGGGGAGAGAGAGAGAGACAGACAGACATTGATGAGAGAGAGAAACATTGATCGGTTGCCTCTCATATGTGCCCAGACTGGAGATGGAACTCACGCCTCCTGGTGAAAAGGATGACACTCCAAGCAAGTGAGCCACGGGGCCAGGCTGAGGGAAGGGCTGCTTAATGAGGTGGAACCCCAGGAGCGGGGAGCGAGAATATTCTTGAGAGGGAAGAATAGTATAGAGAACTCTAGAGACAGAGACTGTCTGGTTGCTGTAAGGGACAGCAGGTGGTGACTGGTCATGGGGCGGTCTCCCCCACTCAAGGACGTTAGATTAAGTCTGTGAGGCAGAGGCATATACAGGAATGAGCTGTTACGGTCAGATGGAGTTATGAATCTCACGTGGGCCATGTATTACAGAGTAGAGCAAGGCAATATATGTAAATAACATAATGTCACCAGTAATTGAAGTCCAATCCTGTGTGTCTAATAATGTTAGATGAAAGGTGTACATGGGTTTTTCATGCAATTCATGCATATTTGTTAGCTGTCACAAGACATGTAGGGAAGAGCAATGAGAAGAAGAAATCTCAGTGTTACCTCTAGTCCTCTGCTCCTAGCAGGGGGCTTGGGAAGGAACTTGCTAGTCCTAGAGAACTCTCAGAAGGCAGATATGGAGGAAGAGAAATGGTCAGTCTGAGATGTTGAGACTGTGTCTGCCTGTGTACGTGTGTATATATGTGCGCGTGTATATTTTGTGTATGTGCGCATTACTGTGTATGTGAGTAAGTGTGTCTGTTGGTGAGTGAGTGTGTATGTGTGTGTGTGTTTTGCATATGAGTGATGGTGTATGTGTGTGTATATCTGTGTGAGTGTGACTGTTGTGTGTGTTTGAGCATGCATGTGTGTGTGTGAATGACCGCATGTGTGTGTCCATGAGTGCGATATTGTGTGTGAGAGTGACTGTGTGTTCACAGGGTAACTGCACCTGTCTGGTTGAGGGAAGTAGAAGCGAGAGCTGTGGGTGAAGGTTCACATGAGGATGATCAAGAACAGCCTTCAGTTCCAAAGAAAGAGCCTAAATTTACCTTACAAACATTCAGGACAACATATGAGTGAAGTCATATGGTATTTGTCTTACTCTGACTCTCTGTTTCACTTAGCATAATGTTCTCCACGCCCATCCATGATGTTGAAAAGGGTAAAATTTTGTTCTTCTTTATGGCCAAGTAGAATTCCATTGTGTAAATGTCCCACAGTTGTTTTCTCCACTCATCTACTGATGGACACTCGGGCTTCTCCATATCTTCACAATTGTAAATAACATTGCAATGACCATACAGGTGCTTATGAATCTAACGAACAAACTGAACTAACAAGCAAAACAGAGACAGACTCATAGATGACAGCTAGTTGGGGGTGAAGAGGGTGGAGGGGTTGATCAAAAAAGAGAAGGACTCATGGATATGGCAACAGTGGGGTGATTACTGGGGGGGTGGAGTGTAATGCGACTAACTGGCAATGGAATAAATACAATAAAGATTAAATTAAGAAAAAAACAATGAGGGCCATGGAAAAATTTTGAGCGGAACTGACCAGATTCTGAAAGAGAGTTGGAACATATATGACTGGCCCATGGGCAAGGGCAATGGGGTGGGGGTTGTCAGTGGGAGCGGGGGTGGGCTGAGCGGAGAAGAGCAGAGGGAGAAAACAGGGCCAACTGTAAGAGAACAACAATAAAATATTATTTGAAAGTAAAAAAGAGTTGGAAAGACTGATGTGGTGAGTGGACAAGAGAAAAGAGTAAGGATGTGGGCCTTGGAACCCAGGCAGGTGGTGGATGTGTCTACTGTCTTGGGGACGTGAGGGATGACCTCCCTCCCTGCCTCGTTGACTGGAGACTCCAAGGAGCCCTGGTGACCATGAGCCAATGGGAGTGGGGAGGGGCGAGACTGGGGTCTGTGCAAACACTCTGCTCCCGCAGGGGAGCTCAGCACTTCCTTCTGGCCCTGGAACGCAGGGGCTGTGTCTCACACTGTTTCCACCTGGTTCTGTGTCTCTAAGAAGTGATCTCTTTCTCTCTCCTTCTCTTTGGGGTGAATCATCTAGGGCATTTCTCCCTCTTCAGAGCACCTTTGGTGCTGGGAGTCACTCTCCTCTTCAAACTGTGGAGTCTCTTGAGGATTGAGAAACAATCGACAATCAGCAGAGTTCTGTTTGAGGCAGAAAACATCCCACACACTTGCAATATCAGTGTTGGAATACCACATCCTGAATGGCTGAAGGACCCTTGAGCAGCCTGCTTCCTCTGTTGCTCTCACTTCCCTCAACTGTAGCCCAAAAATACCAGCCCCACCCCTATGAATGTGGTAAAATCCACGCTACGTGAGAGATGGGGGAAAGGTAGCCAGCCATTCAGATTTAGGTGGAGACGTTGGAGGTTTGAGAAACGAAAATTAGAGGTACCTCAGCCACTGGAGCAGAGGGGAGGATCAGACTCAGACCACAGTGCAGAGTCACCTGGTCACGACAGACCCTCCCAGTGCAGGTCCTGGTCACGGTTGCTAGGAGAGGTGGAGAAGTCTATGTACGAAGCCAGGCGAACTTCACACCTGCCTCACTCCACACACAAAATCGATGCTAGATGCATGGCAGACTGAAGAGGAAGTCAATACGTTTTTCTTTAGCAAAAATGTAGAAAATATCTTTTTTCTTTGTGGTAAGCATTTTTAAAACAATTTTTAATTCTGATTCCATTACGGTTGCCTCGCTTTCCCCTTTTGCTCTCCTTTGCACACACTGCCCGCCCCACCCCCCCGCCACAGGTCCTGCAGTCAGTTCTTACACTGCTGTCCGTGTCTGCGGATCATTTGTTTATGTTCCTTGACTAGCCCCTTCCCCTTTTCTTTACCATTTTCCCTGTTCCCACTCCCCGCTGTTCACTGTCCTTCTGCTCCATGTTCCAATGACTGTGATTCTAGTTTGTTCATTAGTTTATTTTTTTATTCTATCCCTGTTTTAGGTGAGATCCTGTGGTATTTGTCTTTCACTGACTGGCTTAATTCACTTTTCCAGTTCCATCCATAGTGTCGCAAAAGGTAGGAGTTCCTTTTTCTCTCTGTAGTATTCCACTGTGTAAATGTACACATTTTTTTGATCTGCTCATTTATCGATGGACACTTGGGCTGTTTCCGGCACTTGGCTATTTTAAATAACTCTCTATTTTGTTCGTTAGTTTATTTTTTCATTATATTCCTGTTATAGGTGAAATTCTATGATATTTGTCTTTCACTGACTGGCTTATTTAACTTAGCATAATACTTTCCACTTCCATTCATGCTGTCACGAAAGGTAGGAGTTCTTTTTTTCTTTCTGCTGTGTAGTATTCCACTGTATAAATGTACACGATATTTTCATCAGCTCATTTACTGATGGCTCTTGGGCTGTTTCCACCCCTTGGCTATTGTAAATCACACTGCTATGCACAGAGGGGTGCATCATTTCCTTTGAAGTGGTGATTCGGGATTCTTAGGTATATTCCCATGGGAATGGGGTGGGATGGACGGTAGAGGACAAAGGGGGACAGATTGGGTCAACTGTAGTAGAACAGGCATAAAATATTGAAACACACGTTAGAAAAGACAGCTAGGTGTGCTCTTGATGGGTGGAGCTGTCCCGGACCCAGTGCTGAATTCTCCACCACCTCACGGGATTCACATACAAGACAGGACAGAATCAGGGGAGATGGAGCTGGCCCACGACTGTGAGGAAAGCCTCCCAGGAACCTACACGTGCAGATTCCTGATCAAGTCAGGACAGAGTCTGGGTCAGCACGACCGCCGGACAGCAGATGAGCTGTCCTGCCTTGGGGCTCCTGTGATGACAAGTGTGAACGTACTTTGAGGTGTCAGGTTTGGGCTGTTTTTACATTAGAAAAGGGGCAAACACTCAGTGGACCTTTTTATGACAGAGCTTGGTGATTTGTTTTTCCGTTGTTAAAGTGAAGCTGAAGAGGCAAAGTGACAGGATGTGGTGGGCTGGTGCCCACACCACAATCTGTACAGGACCCAAGGTGTCTGTCACACAGGAAGAGGACCAGCTGCTCCTCACCCTAAAAATAGCAGATTCTGAAGGTTTCACTCGACCGCATTACTCAACACCCCTCATGTCTCAAGTGTCACATTTAATTTTTCCATACTCTATACTTATAGGAGGATTTTAACTGAACTTGCTGTTATTGAGAAGTCCTAATGATTATTCAGTTTACAACATTCAAATTTCCCCAGCAAAGCTAATATGCAACATAGTTAATAATATAAGACTACTTTCAGGAGAAGTATGAA